CATAGGCATTTTCTGCTTCTCTCACCCATGAACAAGATACAGGAGCCTTGCCCCATGTCCACTCTACGGTTGTAACTTTTGGATCGTCTCCATCAGAGTCGGCATCATATGGATCAAACATAGCAGCAGTACCTTTCAAATACTTCTCTTTGAGCAGGGCTCGATGTTGACTCTCAAAAGTCGAAACCCTTTGAACTAGGTGAGCCAAACTCTCAAATTCTTGGCCATCAAATTTTTCTTTGATCACTGGAGACATCCCTTGAAAGGCCAATTCAGTCAATTTAATGAGTAGCAACGGCTCCTTACTTCTCTGAACCTTTGAATGAACTCAGAGCCTAACTCATTATTCCTCTGCCTCATTCTTGTTAGATCTATGATCTTCTTCTCTCCTATCCCACTATAGAAGTATGCGTGGAACTTGTTCTCTAGATCGGCCCATCTAGTGATCGAGTTTGGTTCAAGTGATGAAAACCAACTGAAGGCCGGTCTAGACAGGGACAAGGGGAAGAATCTAACTTTATGTGCCTCCTCAACAGATGCATCTCTGAGCTAAGTGAGATAGTAGCTGATATGTTCCATGGTTGTTATCTCATCTATCCCGATAAATTTAGAGAAATCTAGGACTCTGTAGCGTGGAGAGAGTTGCACAATATCCTACCAGGCCGGGTATGGGCACTGGTAAGAGCAACCTATCCTTTAGGATTTAGACCAAACTGGCTCTACATCATAGCAGTTATCCTATTGATGAACTCATCAACATCCATGCCAGTGACTTCTCATCTCGGTTGTCCTTGAGTCTGAGCCTGAGAGCCTTGCACTTGAACTTGTTGACCCTAAGCCAGAGACTATTGTCCTTGGACCTGGGCTTGCTGGAGTTGTTGGGCATTATAACTGTAAGGATTCTGATACCTAGGGTATGGCATAAGCTCATACGTGATGGCATTAGAAAGCAAGTGATATCCTTCTGGATAGTCGATCTGAGTATTGTGAGTTGCATATCCTTGCAATCGACTATTGAAGTAGTTTGGATCAACATTCTTGATGCTCTTCTAAACTGATAGAGCAATTTTATGGGCCGACTGAGGCATTTGGTAGGAAGTATTGAATCTTTCCTGAGCCGACCATTGCACAACCTGTTGAGTGATTGGTGAGGTTGGCTGCTGGACTAAATACACTTGGTTTTGTCCAGTGGGCTGTTGAACCATTTGTGTGACAGGGGCACTTGGTAACTGCTGCACTAGCGGTTGCCCCTCTGTCATTTGACCTTGCCCCCTTGCCGTTGGTAGGGCTTGACCTTGCCCCTTGCCGCTTGTAGGGCTTGACCTTGCCCCCTACCGCTTATAGGGTTTGATCTTGAGTTTGTCCTCCTAGAAGTTGCTGTGCTGGTGGCCACCGATATTGCCCACCATTTGGGTTCTGACTAGAACTAGGCACACTGCTTCCAACAGCCGAAGGATTATAGCCATTGAAATATGACGGTCCCACCTGATCAACTGGCACTCCAAAGAAAACTTTCTTCATAACATTGTCAATTGGTTTGGCTAACACCTTATTGTGATTTGTGAAGGCTTTGTGAACAGTCTTATGGACCAAATGGGCAGTAGTTCTTGCTTCAACATATTCACTTTGTCCATGCAAGAGAACGCTTGGCAGGGGAGTCTTCTAGATGTCTGAATCACGCATCCTGCTGTAAGACAGCAGACACTTCTCACGGAACTCCTTCGCTGCCTGCTCAATAAGTGCTTTCTGGTTATCAGGCAAGTTCCACTTTGACGATTGTGGTCCCACCAGGCGTGCCAAATCTGTGTCAACGGGGAAAAAGGTGACGGGCCGATCCCCGCCGCTGACACACTAGCAAGCCAAGAGAAATCGTTTGGAGTAGTTCCTGAGCTCTCTCCGGACTTAGGAGGACATCGGACCGGATAGTCATGACCTAGGGTGTGCCAGTCAATTTGACCCTCTAATTGACAAGGAGACAAGATTGATCAGTAATTTAAGGTGGAACATGCCAGTGTTTGTCCAGACAGCTCCAAATATGTGGCTAAGTAGCCGATAAAATAAGGCTATCGACTAGAGAGTCTATATCCAGCATGTTTATGATGCATGATAAGCACAAACGAGCATATCGGCAATTACCATTTACTCAATTGCATAGATCTAACTTAGCCGATGATCATGAAAACATGCTAAAGATGTAAAAACATAGGCATGAGAGCATTCATATTAATTGAGAAATATATTAGCTTTTAACCAAGATAAAAACAAGTAAAAGCATAGGAATAGCCAATAATATATTCTTAATGGGCAGACTATCGACTAAAACAACCGATTCCAGTGAAGGAAGACTCGCAACATGCGAACACTCAACTATTAAACGTGGATAAATCTATACACCTATCAAATCTAACCTATTATCTCTAACAGTGGGGTTCGAGCCGGACTAATGCATCCATAATAAAGACAACAGATTAAATCTTCAAAGAATACGAATATATGCGCGCTTAATAGAATCATGAAAACATGCTACGATCGCGAAAGCACAAGCGATCGACTAAATAGCCGATGCGGACATAGCATGCAGCCAGAGACTATGTTTGACCATAAGCAAGACTTACTACATGATGATTTCTAATCTATAGTGCTAACAGTGGAGGTCGACCGGATCGATGGCAGTCATAATAGCAGTTCTAGACCAGATTTTATCAACTAACAAGCTTACCTTGGGTTAAACATGCCTTGACCACATGCCGTCTTCGATCAAGATTGGATTAAAATGGCTAAGCTAACCGAAACCATCATCACAACAAGGTATAAACAAGGTAAAGCAACTAGACGATGATTTAATGAGATATAAAGCCGATTCGTTTCAATCTTAATCGGACAAAGGGTGATATTGTTATAAATAGTAAGGGTACTAATTATAACAAGATCGATAATTAGCAAATCTATTAAAAACAGCAAGGAAACCCTACCAATCTTAATAGATTTAACCGATAACTAATCCGTATTAAAATTTATATGAGATACGAGCCGGACCGATGCAACCTTACAAATTTTAATAAGAATTAAGGGTAACTTGTATCAGTAATTGTAAGAGATATGAGCCAGACCGATGCAACCTTATAATTAACTGATGATAACTAACTTATACAAAGCTTACAAGAGGTCAGACCTAATCGATGCAGCCTTACAAACAAAATATAAGTCGTGATGGATAATCACAGACAAACTGGAGGTCGGACTTAACCGATGGCAGCCCTGCTTGCCGAAGAACTCGCCGAAATCTACTCTACTCCTACTCCTAAGGGGTGGCGTAAGACAAAAAGTAAGGTACTGGTTTTTTATTGATCGCGGAGATGTCTATTACAATAGACGGGGTTTAATATTTATACCCGAGACTTGACTACGAGTCCTGGTCGAATAAGACCGGTTACAAAACTTGGAAAAAAAACAAAACCTTCCCATTATTGCGATAACTTGGACCTCAATCTTTCTCATCTATGAAGTCCGACGCATCTTCTTGCTTCATGTCTTGCCATCCCTGCCAATAGGGCCCATTCTTGTGTGATGATGATGTCACCTTATCCTAGTCGGTTCAGATGGTAATCCGGTTAGCCGATCTTGTTGAATATCTCGGCTTCCCATTAATGGTTCTCGAAACTCAGGGTCTTCTCATTCGAACCAAATTTTGGTGTCAACAAAGTGATAAGCCTACTTCAACAATGTGCCGATGTTTACGCTCAGCGGATCTATTTTGCTGATGCGCATGAGGACATGAAACATGATGTTCTACTCCTATTTGTTTAAAGAAGGAATTAAGAGATTGATATTCACAGCCCCAATTATTTTGGATGGAACAAATTTTGCATCCAAACTGACGTTCTACAAGATTTTGGAAATCACTGAATTGCTGAAATACTTCAGATTTATGGTGCAAAAGATAAATCCAAGTAAATTTGATATAATCATCAATAAAATTGACATAATAATTGTTTTGACCAATTGAAGTTGGCGCAGGGCCCCATACATCAGAAAAAACAAGATCCATTGGACTAGCCGACACACTAGTGGATCGCGGGTAGGGCAACTGATGGCTCTTACCCTTCTGGCATGCATCACAAACAACATGTTTATTTGAATCTCTAATAAAAGGAAGATTGTGGCGACCTAGAACCTGCTGGACTACTTGAGTGGAAGCATGGCCTAGCCTATAATGCCACAACGACGTAGAAGGCTTGACGGCACCAAGCACTTGTTCATTCGATGATGACTTCAGGGGATATAGCCCCCTTCACACCTGCCCCACTTGCGGTGTGGACGTGCTCATTGTTGTCGTACTTGTCGCGGATGGTCAGCTTCTCCAGGTCTCCCGTGATGTGGTCGGTGGCGCCAGAGTCCATATATCAATTGGTATCGACTCCGTAGGAGGCAGTAGTAGATGCCGCCGTCTTCTGAGGAGGGCTGGTGAAGGTGGCATCAAATCTCTTGAAGCAGTGAAGAATAGTATGGCCATCCTTGCCGCAAAGCTGGCAGGTGACCTGAGGCGCTCCACCCTGAGAGCGGCCTCCGCCGCCACCGCGTCCTCCCTTCTGGTTCCGGCCACCGCCTCCACCACGACCAAAATCGCCACGGCCACGTTGGTTGTTGCCGCCGTCGCGGCCACCACGGGTAGCCATGTTGGCGGAGGACTGGGATCCTCCTCCATGCATCTCCATCCTCTGCTCAAAGCTTGTGACGTCAAAGAGTTATGATTTTTCAAAGGTTTTGTTTTGTCACGTCACTCCCGGTGGTGCGACAGAACGGTACTATCACGCCAGCGGGAGTGGCGTGACAGCGTTTTCCACGTTGGAAACACCGTCTAATGTGGCATATGTTGCCGCACCAATGCATATGGCGCGACAACGTTATTTGGTCGTGCCCCGGCGCAGCGCGACCAAAAGGGTCAAATCCGCTAAAAATTTTGAGGAGTGATTATTATTAAAATATTGAATACAAAATGGTTAAAAATAAAAATTCTCCATGGTCCGGTTGCCGGTAGCGATGCCGCGCCAGGACTCCCAGAGCCGGTCGATGTTGCCGTGGTGCGGGTAGAAGAGCGGGTCGCGGCCGGCGGAGTAGTAGACGCCCATGTTCTCGACGTTAGGGCGCGAGTTGTCGCCGGCCCAGGTGTGCATCGTGTTGTGCGGGGCCAACTCCACCGTGCCCGCACCTGGCCTCGCTGGGTCGCCGGCGCGGTAGGGCTGCTCCATGAAGAGGGAGGGCAACGCTGCGCCGCTAATCATCTGAATGAAAAGTTTATATATACCAAATATAAGTAATAAGCCTCTAAATTAGTGAAACTTTATTTAAAGCAAAGCCTGAGACTGAGACTGAGAGAGAGTGGCAGATCGAGCACCTGTTTATACATGACCCGAAGGTTGTGCATGATCTGCTGCTCGTCGGTCAAGTTCTTCAGTCTACGGTGGTGTTTAGATGGAGTGATTAAAATTTAAAATTTAGAAGATGTGTCATGAGGATGTTGTATGGGGTGTTCAGATACTAATAAAAAAACAAATTACATAACCCGTCCGTACTTCACGAGACGAATTTTTTAAGCCTAATTAATTATTTTTAATATTTATTAGCACACGCATCATTGTAGCACCATCGATGAAGATGAAATATATATATATATATATATATATAAGTTGCAGCTCTCAGATGAGATCTACAAACTTGTAATTTTTATTGTCAAATCATGGACTAATTAGGCTTAAAAGATTCGTCTCGTAAATTAGTCGTAAACTATGCAATTAATTTCGTAATTAATCTATATTTAATACTCCATGCATGTGTACAAATATTTGATAGAACAGCGACTAAAATTTATGAGGGGCAACCAAACACCACCTAAGAGAGAAGTCCAGGTCAGCCACCTTGGGCGGCACGTGACTCGGCTCCTGTATCACCTCGGGCATCCCCATGCCCTCGGGGACGTCCCAGCTTCAGCAGCATGTTCGCTTGGTCGTATTTAGCTTATAAGTCATGGCTTATTAGCCAACGAACAGTATTTTTTTCTCACATTAAACTAGCCAACGGTACTTTCAGTCATAACTTATAAGTCAAACCAGTCCAAACGGACCAGGCGTAGATGGGAAGCGCGAACCCCCCAGCAGCTTGGCCGCGATGCGCTCGAAGAAGTAGAGGTAGGCGCGGTGGAAGGGGAAGAAGAGCCACGAGAAGTGGATCTGTATGCCCAGCTCCGGGTACCCCAACTGTCGGTGCGCGCCGGTGCAGTAGGCGCAGTGCACGTTGGCCTGCTGGTAGAAGCTGCGAGGGTCCGACTCAGGCAGCGCCTTCATCAGCTCCACGGCGCGCGCGTACTTGGCCATGTACTCGGCGCCGACCACGTGCACCGCCCTGCGCGTCCGGAGCGGCTCGGCCGGGTCCGGGAACGTGAAGTTGATGGGATCCGACGCGGACGTCGTCGGCGGGCAGCACTGGAAGGGCGCGAGCGCTTGTGGTGGGAACTCGCCCTTGGCGCACAGCTGGTCGGTCACAATGGGTCGTGCTCCCCTGCCACCGCTGGTCCTATTGGCGTCGTTGCCCAGCAACAATGGAGCCTCAGCAGCATTTTTTTTCACGTATACTAAGCGATGTAGTTGGCCTACTCCTCCTGCATGGACTCCACGATCCTTGACCACTTGGTGCGGACGGTGATCACCAGCTAGCAGCAAGCAGGCCTGGCATGCCAGACCGCAGATCGATCATGCCCGCCCATAACCCCTGCAAAGAAGTCATTACAGAGCATCTTACTATTACTAATTAGAGGCTCACTAGATACACTAGAAAAAAAAAGGATAAATGCTAGAAACTCTCACATTAATCAGAAACATCTAACCACCAAATCAAAGACTCTAGCCATCCATCACCATTGGATCCGTTTTCTAGAAAATTACCCACACTGTCATTATAGATAAAAATCAAGTTTTAAAAGAAAACAATTTGACGGTAGTTAGTATAAAATATTAGACATATCTCCAATACTGCCGTTCGTAGTTAGTTAACAAAAATATATATTAATGAAACAAAATATATGTAATAAAAATACCACATTATCGACATTCACAATTAGTTAGTAAAATATTAGATGAGTTAGATCTTATTAATCACGTCACTTGGCAATAAATTATTAAAATACCATATTGGCAATAAATTATTAAAATACCATACGTGTAGAAACGACGTTCATAGTTAGTTAATAAAATATCTGTATTAATAAAACAAAATATATGTATTAGTAAAATATCAGATGAGTCCTACTAATCCCATTCACTTGGTACCGTATTAATAGATTATCATATACTTCCTCCGTCCCAAAATAAACGTATATTCTATTTGAGGAGTTAAACTTTTTTAAATTTGACTAAAAGTATAGAAAATAATGGTCATTTGTATCTCTAAACAATTTAATTATAAAATTACATTCTATGTTGAATCTAATAACACTTATTATTCTTCATGAATACTAATATATTTTTATAATTATTTGACCAAACTTTAAAAGATTTGACTCCTTGAGGAATGAGATGTGGGTTTACTTTGGGACGAAAAGAATATGTAGTACTTTAAAATTAGTTAATGACCAAGAGAATAGTACATAATCTGATGGAAGGTTAATATGTTAAAAAATATTTGAGACAAACAAACAAAATTTTACATGTGCAACTTTTGTCAACCACTCGCAAACACAAGTTAACTTTCAAAATTTACATATGAATTATGCACCTCTACCATTTAGAACTATAATTCAAAATAACCCATAAATTTGTGTCTAAATTACCCACATATGTCACTATCGGAGATAATATAAAGTAAACCTTTTGATTATCTAAATTATCCACCTTGACTATTATAAAAAAGAAATAAAAAATACCTCTAAATCTACATGTAAATACTAAAATTATTGTTGCAAATAAATTAATAATCATATTCATTTTAAATAAGTTTATTACATGTTGACTAAAATATTATGCCATATAGTAATCTATTTTAAAAATAAATAAAAATAACTCTAAATCTACGTGTAAATAATAATATAGTTATTACGATAAATAAATTAATAGCCATTGTTATTTAAATAAGTGTACTATATATTGATTAAAAGATTATGTCCTAAGAATAGTACATTATATTTAATTGTTTTATACAATAAATTTAACATCTTGATTGTTGTTGTCCAAGCTGTAATGACTTTTTATGCCAATGTAGTAGCTAGAGTGTAGCCTAAAATCTATACTATTTTTTCAGAAAAATAGATATTATACTAACACATTGAATCCTCGAACCAATTGGATCTTAAAGAATCAATGTATTCATAGGGAGGACATGCAATTTATAAACATGAACCAACATCTCAAAAAAATCTTAAAAAACACTACCACAGCCAAAAAATGCTCTATATCCATTAATACAGTGTATTCTAGGGATTTTAAGATAACTTAAGATACAATACAAAAGACGCATGTACTCTTACTTTTCTAATGACTTTGATCCGCGTGATTTGAGGCACCTACTGATTTTATATTATTATTTTATAAATCCTTTATAGTATAATGCACTATATATATCACATGATGGAGGGAGTATGTCCAACCTATACCTATAACTAACTAATCCATGCTCTGAATTTGGTCAAAAGAATCGAGAAACAAATCTATCCAACGGTGGTTGAATTGAATCGCACTAATAAATATGGACTACAAGCAAACACCGGCAATGCTTCAATGGCGCATTGATGCACAACGCAGTCACATGCGAGATCTTCAAAAGTTGAAACTACAACGTTGCTACTTAGATGAACAGCATAATCTACCAATGCTCCTCCTTTCTTCTACATGTAACTTTTTCATTAAATACTACTTTGATTAATATGAGCATCCAATTATTGTCATGATATCTATTGATCATACACACACACACACACACACACACACACACACACACACACACACACACACACACACACACACACACACACACATATATATATATATATATATATATATATATATATATAGCAAAAACTATATTGGAGAACATCATGCCAATCAAATAAGTCATTTACATCACAAGATGGTTCTGAAAGAAGCGGCACAACATTTGACCGAGATGGAAATATAATAATGTTATCACATCCTTTTCTAGGACGCAAGAGATACATATCAAATAATTTCAAAGATGCAAGGAAAGTGCACCAAGGAGTTGAGAGCAATGACTTAACTACATTGACAACAGCCATTCACATAGCAAAAGATAGAAGACAACAAATGACAAGCCAAACATCAATGGTATGGACTTTCAGATTAACCTCAAAAATTTCATCAGACAAATTAAAGGAAGACTAGAATATTATGAAAACAATTTAAGGTACAAACCTAAATATCCAATACCCAATCATGGTATTAATTTTTAATTTGTAGGTGAACCAACATTTTAATATTGTTATCTACATAGTTCCATAACTAAAGAGGGACATCCAACACACCCATATACTGCACAAAGTCAACTATAATAGGACACAAAACAAACAAAGAAAAGCAACCAACCATAGAATCAAACTAATGTTACATCATTGGTTGTGCCACGGCGATCTCTTTGATTCATGCCAATACATATCTATACACGTGTGTAACTCTAGATTCAAATCAAAGATAATTGTATGAAGTAATTTTTATTTGGTAATATATATAAAACTCAGATTTCTATTGCATAAGTATCTCATAGATAGTCCGTGCGGGAGCACGGGTTGATGGACTAGTATAATCAAAGTCATATTATTGACTGTTGCACATTTACTGATGGTGAATGCTTACGTACCTTGGTATATAACTTGAGCTTGAAGGCGAAGAGAATGGCCAGCGGCATGGCCACCAAGTAGTAAGCCACCAGGTTGGTCATCGCCGCGAGATGCTTGCCCCTCGACACGCCTGCCCATTATCAGTCATTTCAAGGCATCCCAAATCATCAGCCAGTCACTTGTGCATGCATGCCGTTGTGTCTGTGAATATGTATAATCGTTCGGCGATGTGGTCGCCGGCCGGTAGGTAGAGGCGTAGAGCTCTGAGCTCTCTCACCTGACAGGACACCCTGTGCAGAGTCGAGCACGATGGAGTCATGGAGACGATAACGAGTGGTGTGATGGGAGTGAACTCCGACACGATCACCGCGCTCCCACAGTCCCACCGAAGAGGTTCGCCCAGAGGCCGTGGCTGAACGCCAGCAGCAGGACGATCGAAGGGGACGCCGACGAGCACCGACAGCTTCAGGGTCACCGATACGGCGTTCTTGGCCTTGTCCACGTTCCCGGGTTCCCGGCCCCGACCTCATTTGACACCCCGGGTGGCGGGTGCTGCGCGCATTTGCATGGGGACACATCGACACGGCCGGTCACCATATATAAGCCCAAGGAGGCAACACACGAATTGAGGCTGGACAGGCGAGCGCACGAATGCTGCATAAGCAGCATGGCAGTACTTAATTAGGAGTACCTCACAGCTGCCCATGCCATCGTGCTAATACTGAAATAGCAGTACTACTAGTAATCGTAAATCATCATTGTATTGATTAACATGAGTCAGATCGTCATTCGTGTGATACGTACGTCTACTCTAGGTAGACGACTAGGGCCTTCCATTGTGCTTCCGACTTCCGGCAGCACGCGAAACCACCCGGTGTTCGGTGGTGTAGCTCGCTTAATTAAGAGCCCTGAAAGAGATCAAGTTAAAAGTACTCCCCCTCTAGCTATTGTTCGTTTCTAAAAAAACAATGCTCCAACAGTCTACCAAACTTTTCAATTATAATTTCCTAACGAACAGACGCAAGATTCTAACTATTTCATTGATATTCATAAGAGACGTGGTTAAAGCTTCTCGATGCCTAAAGATTGATATTTTTTCTTCCAAATTTCCTAAAAGATAAAGAGACTGAGACTTTGATTGCTTTTCAGGTGTGTCTTGCATTGTTGTGATATTTTTCCACTATTCTTGCAGTGCGGTGCACCCCAACCAGTTTTTCCGATAAACTTTTAATTTATTGCACTCCATTATCCAGCGTTTCTCGCTAGCTAGAGCTACAGAGTTGCACTCACTCCTGGCCCAATTAGCTCTCTTTCGTGGCTGAGCACAAATTATAGAAATTAGATTTGTTATACTGAACATGAATTTTTTTTATTGCCCCGACCTCCTCCTTCTCTAACTGTGGTGAGCTCTGGCATGCTTTTATTTTAGTGTTACGGGTTTGAGGGAGGAGACATACATGTCTCTAAAGGACCTAGCCAGAGGTTGTTTTGGATTCGGGCACAAGGAGGAGAGGGCACTGTCCATTGTGGGTGGCACCATTAATGAGTTAGGCTGTGTTTGGTCTGAGCCCATAGACATCCAAAATCAGATGATCAGTAGCGTTGTGTGGTCTAAGCAGCTCTAGCTATAAGCCAACTAAACAGGCCTTTAGTGTGGCAATACGGGTGGAGTGTAGATAGACAAGAAAGCGATAGCGGCATGGGCGATCGCCTAGATGGTGGACGGCACTTGGGATAGATGGTGGCGGACAGAAATTTAGATATAGATTTGTGTGTGTGTGTGTGTTCTTTGAGTGTGGTGTAGATAGACCTAAAGAAATACAAGCGACCGCATTAGGCACATAAACCACTGATTCATATGTACCGCAGCTCCATATATGATATGGCGAATAGCCGGTATCCCTGTACGTATACTACACGGTTTCCCGTCGGTGTACAAACACTGAGAAGCCCTGTACTCAAGGGAGAGTACATGCCTAAGCTAAATTAGCCATGAAAAACGTAGAGGCCAGTCAGCTTCTTCATAAATCGGTAGCTTGAGACGCATCCATACGAACGTAGTTTTTTTCCCCAAGGACACATGCCCTGCTGCTGTGGACCACGAGACTCGAGCTGAGATTCGTGCACAGTGGCAGGACATGTACCCTTAGTGTCGGTGTTTTGGATGGGGTTCCCAACCAACTAGTGAATTTGAACTGCTGTGCCCCTAATCCCGGATGGTGATGCAAAGAGACACAAGGTTTATACTGATTCAGGCAATAGATGCCCTACGTCTAGTCTGAGAGAGCGATCTTGTATTCCTTGCACCGAGGTGCTCGTAGTAGGGTTTATAAGCAGGGCGAGAGAGGGAGCTAGTCCTAGGTCTCTACGTGGAACGGCGTGGGCTGCTTGAGACGTTACTCTCAGGCAGCGGGGGAGCGTGTGTGGGTTGAGTGAGTGCGTTTTGCGTGTGAGTGCGAGCGTGGTTTCGATCTATTCTCTCGATATCTAGAAGCGGCCCCGGTCACTCCCTTTTATAGTCGAAGGAAGGCACGGGGACGGTACATGGATTGCTACGTGGCGTTTTGTGAGCGGAGGTGGCGTGCCGAGCCCTGTAGCTTGTCACTGTGGTGGTATGGTCGATGAAGCGGTCTTGTCCTTGGTGCACTGGAGCGGCGTGCCGGTCACGTATGGTCCTGTGAGACGTGGGAGCTCCTGCGGTGGCAGGCGCGTCTTCCTCTGCCGGAGGCGTGCTGGTTGCTGCATGTTTGACCGGCGTGGAGTGCCGAGGCCGGGCTGACGCGATGGTGCGGGCATGCTGACTCCGAGGATACAGGAGCTTGGCCCTACGCGTGACGTGGGTGCAGCTTGGCGCAGGGTACGGTGCGTACTGCAGACGACGTGCCGGTCGCTGTGTGTCGACAGCGTAAAGAGTCGAGGCTTAGTTGGTGCCGAGGCCGAGCCATCGTGGGGGGCTCGGCGGGCGCGAATCCCGAGGCTGCCGAGACCCTGAAGCGGATTGCCGAGGCTCGGAGGGAGCAGTTGGTCCTGTACACTGATTTTGAGGCTATAGGACCCGGACCTGACTCTCCACGTCGCGCTGTCCTCGAAGCAGGAGTTAGGTAGCATAGTGCAGTACGGGCATCAGTCATGGGCACAGTGCTGAGCACAGCGGCCGGTAACCCCTGCCCAGTCCTATAGCTAACTGCATGGCGTCGATGTGACTCCCGTCCCGTCGGCCACTCCGTTGTACTATGCCGACGCGCGGCTGACGTTACGGGAGTGGTTGGACGCGTTAATTGGACGTAACGTTTTTGTCGAGAAGCCGGTCGAGGCAGCGGTGACGGGGTCGTTGCCGAGCCGGCATCGAGCGAGGCGGAGAATCGGTACTTTGTCCTAGGCCTTACGGCGCGGGGCCTCGGGCGAGGGGGCCTCGGCGAGGCGGAGAGTCGGTACTTCATCCGAGGCCTTACGACGCGGGGCCTCGGGCGAGGGGGCCTCGGCGAGGCGGAGAGTCGACACCTCGTCAGAGGCTGTGCGGTGCGGGCCTCGGGCGAATCGGAGAATTGGCCGAGACCTCGTCGTTGTTTCTTGGCTTTGATATTTACAAGGGCTAAGCAATTTTTTCGGTTCTCGCTTAGGGTACCCTTTTTTATGGTATCCGACAGTAGCCCCCGAGCCTCAGGGGGAGTGCGAGCACTCTCCCTGAGGTTTTGTCGAGACTTGGCTCACAGCAGCTCCCATCGGGATTGCGTTTTATACTAGTGGTTCCGGTGGGTGCGCGCGAGCGCACCCGCCGGGTGTAGCCCCGAGGCCCTGGAGGAGTGGATTTACTCCTCTAGGGGCTTTTTCCCCATTGAGTGAGGAGTTTTATCGCGTTTGCCGATCCCATGAGTGCGAGTTCGGGTCGCTGGGCCTCGGCTTAGTTACAGGAAGAGCCTCCGCACGGAGCGAGAGGGCGATCAGGAGTTTCCCTGTCTTTTTTGGGCGGACCTCATGCATCCTTTTCGTTCGGAAGGAGGGGTGGAGTATGCCAGGCTACCCTCGGTGGGCGCGAGCAGTGACACCTCCGGTGAGCTGTTATCGGGTAAGTCCGAGTGGAGGCCCGTGCCCCATTCGATAGAGGTCGGTTGGTGGTCCAGGGACGTACTCCAAAAGCACCAGAGGGCTTCTCTAGTGGGTCCCAGGGTCGTTCGATTGGCCCCGGGGGCTCGATGCCTCCCTATGGTGGGATCCCATTCAGAGACCTCCCTGCCGGTCTCGGACACGACTTAGGGCATCCCAAGCAGTCGCCTGTTTGGGCCTCAGCCACGTAAGGGCACGCCCATAGTCATCCCTGACTCTGTTGTTCTGGGGCGGCTGTCGAAACCCTCAGGGGCCCAGCCTTCGAACCCCTGGACCGTAACGGGCTCGATGCCCTTTATCGCGTTTTGCCGAGCCCCCGAGTGCGAGTTTGGATTGCTTGTCTTCGACCTAGTTACAGGAAGTGTGACCCTCGCACATCCTTTTCGTACGGAAGGAGGTTGCAAGAAGAGCCCCCGAGCCTCCGCACGGAGCGAGAGGGCGATCAGGAGTTTCCCTGTCTTTTTTGTGCGACCCTCGCGCATCCTTTTCGCTCGGAAGGAGGGGTTGTTTGCCGAGCCCTCGAGTATGAGCCTGGGTCGCTGGGTTTTGGCTTAGTTGCAGGAAGAGGCCCCGAGCCTTCGCATGGAGCGAGAGGGCGATCAGGAGTTTCCCTGTCTTTTTTGTGTGACTCTCGCGCATCCTTTTCTCTCGGAAGGAGGGGTTATTTGCCAAGCCCTCGAGTGCGAGCCTGGGTCGCTGTGTCTCGGCTTAGTTGTAGGAAGAGCCCCTGAGCCTCCGCACAGAGCAAGAGGGCGATCAGGAGTTTCCCTGTCTTTTTTGTGCGACCCTCGCGCATCCTTTTCGCTCAGAAGGAGGGGTTGTTTGCCAAGCCCTCAAGTGCGAGCCTGGGTCATTGGGTCTCGGCTTGGTTGCAGGAAGAGCCCCCGAGCCTCCGCATGGAGCGAGAGGGTGATCAGGAGTTTCCCTGTCTTTTTTGTGCAACCCTCGCGCATCTTTTTCGCTCGGAAGGAGGGGTGGAATATGCTAGGCTACCCTC